AAGTCCCAGGTTGCTGATGTGACTTTCTGCCTCATTTACACACAGTTGCAGGGTCTCACTTGTTTCTCTTACCATCGTCAACACAACACACTGTACTGTACATACATCGTTTCTTACTATCGATTTTTATTATTTTATGGTTCTTTATTTTTATTACACTGTTATTATTATTATTATTATTATTATCATTATTTTTTATAAAAACAAATGTATTTTTATTAAAAAAATATTTACTATGAATTATTTTTATTTTATTTTTAATTTTGCACTTTATTTTAAATTTTACTTACTATGAATTATTATTATTATAATTATTATTATTATTATTATTATTATTATTATTATTATTATTATTGTTATTGTTATTATTATTATTGTTATTGTTATTATTGTTATTGTTATTATTGTTATTGTTATTATTGTTATTATTATTATTATTATTATTATTATTATTACATCTTCGCCCCCCAGGCCCCGATGTGGGTCAGTGACCTGTGCTCTGGTGGGCTGGTCCCTGTAAAAAAAAAAAAAAAATGTACAGCTGTAGTCTGCCAATATCATCTTGTACACAAACAGAAGCAGTGTACATCGTGACGTCACTTTAACATGTACATGAAGAGTGTACACAACCAGTGACTCAGTACCAGTGTATGTACTGTACGCAACCAGCCAGCTATACCGACCAGCATAGGACTTGTCGTGTGGTTCAGGGGTGCCGGCACATGAAACAGGGATGACGCAAAAATGAAGCAAATATGAAGCAAGTATGAAGCAAGTATGACGCAAGCATGACGCAACACTGAAGTTAGGAAAATGCAAGTACGATGTAAGAATAAAGCAAGGATGATGCAAGGTGTAGCGTGAAGATGAAGCGAGGGTGACTCAAGGTTGATTCATGAATAATAAGGTGATGTAATGATAATCCCTCATCTCTCCACTCCCCCTTCCTCACACCTCTCCCCTCACACCTCTCCCCACCTCTCACCCCACCCACACCCACACTCACCCACATCACGCCCTCGCCCTACTTAAACATAGCACATTCTTCTCCCCTCCAGGTCTTGTCTGGTGATCTGACCAGGTGGGAGAGAACACTCCCCCCTCTCTCCTTCCCCTCCTCCTCCTCCTCTTCTCCCTCTTCCCTCCTCCTTCCTCCTCTTCCTTCCTGTTGCCTCCTTCCCACCCCCTCCTCCTAATATACAATCAATATAACTTAGAAATTATACTTATCAAGAATTGACCTAACCTAACGTAACCAACCTAACCTAACTTAACCTAACTAATTAACCTAACTAATCTAAGCTAACCTAACAAACCTAAAATAACTTACCGAATTAACCTTACCTAACCAATCTCTCTCTCTCTCTCTCAACGAGGAGTAACGGGAGGGAATGTTGTCACCTGGATCAGTTCAACGAGGAGGCAACTTAATACGCATTAATTATCTCGTTACACACTCAGCGGAACACCCACTCAGGTAGAACACACCTGACGGACGGACGGACGGGTGGAGGGGCTGGTGAGGGGCTGACGAAGGGGCTGACGAAGGGACTAACAGAGGAGTTGACGGGGGTAGAATGAGGAGCAAACGGATAGGGGGGGTGGGGGTGGGGGGACGGAGGGGAACTGACAGAGGGGGACATAGGAGCTGACGGAGTGGGACAGAGAGGCTGAAGGAGGGGGGGAGCTACAGAGGGGGACATAGGAGCTGACGGAGTGGCTGAGAGGCTGAAGGAGGGGGGGGACATAGGAGCTGGTGACGGACAGAGAGGATGAAGGAGGAAGAGCTGACAGAGGGGGACATAGGAGCTGACGAGTGGCTGACAGAGAGGCTGAAGGAAGGGGGAGCTGACAGAGGGGGACATAGAGCTGACGGAGTGGCTGACAGAGAGGCTGAAGGAGGGGAGAGCTGACAGAGGGACATAGGAGCTGACAGGTGGATGACAGAGGGGAAGGACGACAGAGGGACATGGACTGACAGAGAAGGAGGATGGACAAATCAGGTAGGGGTGAGCAAGAGGCAATTATGACAGGTCGTTAATTGTTAAGGAGGTGGAGGCGTAGGTGGGGGGGGGTGTAGGGGTGGGTGGGGTGGTGTGTGGTGGGGGTGTAGGTGGTGTGGGTGTAGGTGTAGGGTGGGGTGAAGGCAAGGGTGGGGGGTGAAGGCAGGTGGGGGTGGGTGGGGGTGTAGGTAGGGTGGGGGGGGTAGGGTGGGGTGTGTAGGTGTAGGGTGGGGGTGTAGGTGTAGGGGTAGGGGTGGGCAGGGTGGGGTGCAGGTGTAGGGTGGGGGGTGCAGGGTGGTGTGGCAGGGGGGTGTGGGGTGTGGGAGTGGGGGTGTAGGGTGGGGTGAGGTGTAGGGTGGGGTGTTGGTGGGTGTAGCTGGGCTGTATGGAGGGTGGTGGGGTAGTGTGTGTGGTGATGGGTAGTGTGGGGGTGATGGGTGTAGTATGGAGGGTGGGTGTAGGTGTGTGTATGGTAGTGATGGGTGTGTGTGGGTGATGGGTGTGGTGGTGGGGTGATGGGTGTAGTGTGGGGTGATGGGTGTAGTGTGGAGTGATGGGTGTAGTGTGGGGTGATGGGTGTAGTGTGGGGTGATGGGTGTAGTGTGGGGTGATGGGTGTAGTGTGGAGTGATGGGTGTAGTGTGGGGTGATGGGTGTAGTGTGGGGTGATGGGTGTAGTGTGGGGTGATGGGTGTAGTGTGGAGTGATGGGTGTAGTTACCGAGAAACAGCACTACAAGGCAGCCTGGGCGGAGATAGAATCAATATGTCATCTCTCCATTCTAGTCAACCAAACCTAACCTAACCTAATCTAATTTAATCTAACCTAACCAAACTGAACCTAACCTAATCTAATGTAACCTAACCTAACCTAATCTAATTTAATCGAACCTAACCTAACCAAACCTCACGTGTCCGAACTTAAAGTTAGGGTTTAGGTTTAAGTAAGATTAGTTCAGGGAGATTAAAGAAAAACAATGGTATTTTGCCATGATAAAACCTTCCTGACGATGATGGTTTAATCTCTAAAGTAGGATGGTTTAGGATGTTAAACCACCATCCTTAAAGAGTTCAACCGTCATTCTCTGTGTAAAACTATAAACCATCGTTCTCCAAGGGTTAAACCTTCGTCGTCAAAAAGTTAAACCATCGTCCCCAAAGGGTTAAACCATCGTCCTAAAAGTGTTAAACCATCACACTCAAAGAGGTAACTCATCGTCCTCAAAGTGTTAAACCATCGTCCTCAAAGTGTAAACCATCATACTCAAATTGTTAAGCCACGGTCCTTAAAAAGTTAAACCATCGTCCCCAAAGGGTTAAACCATCATCCTAAAAGCGTTAAACCATCACACTCATAGAGGTAACTCATCGTCCTCAAAATGTTAAACCATCGTCCTCTAGTACTTAGGAAATTATGCTTTGAGGACGATGGTTTAAGCGATTAGCTCTTGAAGGATAATGATTTACGTTATAATCCTCAAAGAGTTAAACCATGGTTCCTAAAGAGTTAAACCATCGTCCTTAATGAGTTACACCATCGTCCTCAAAATGTTAAGCAATCGTCCTCAAAATGTTAAACCATCATCCTTAAAGAGTTAAACCATCGTCCTCAAAGAGTTAAACCATCGTTCTTAAAGAGTTAAACCATCGTCCTCAAAGAGTTAAACCATCGTCCTCAAAGAGTTAAACCATCGTCCTCAAAGAGTTAAACCATCGTTCTTAAAGAGTTAAACCATCGTTCTCAAAATGTTAGACCATCGCCCTCAAAGAGTTAAACCATCGTCCTCAAAGAGTTAAACCATCGTTCTTAAAGAGTTAAACCATCGTTCTCAAAATGTTAGACCATCGCCCTCAAAATGTTAAACCATCGTCCTTAAAGAGTTAAACCATCCTTCCTTAAAGAGTTAAACCATCGTCCTCAAAGAGTTAAACCATCGTCCTCAAAGAGTTAAACCATCGTCCTCAAAGAGTTAAACCATCGTTCTTAAAGAGTTAAACCATCGTTCTCAAAATGTTAGACCATCGCCCTCAAAGAGTTAAACCATCGTCCTCAAAGAGTTAAACCATCGTTCTTAAAGAGTTAAACCATCGTTCTCAAAATGTTAGACCATCGCCCTCAAAATGTTAAACCATCGTCCTTAAAGAGTTAAACCATCCTTCCTTAAAGAGTTAAACCATCCTTCCTTAAAGAGTTAAACCATCGTCCTCAAAGAGTTAAACCATCTTCCTCAAAGAGTTAATTAAACCATCGTCCTCGCAGTATAAACCTATCATCCTGGAAGAGTCAAGTCACAGTCAAGTTGGTCGTGATGGTGATGCCTCGCTGCTGTGCTTGCTGGCAGACCACAATCTGTCGCGTGTGTGTGTGTGTGTGTGTGTATCTGGTGGTTCAGGTGACGACACACAAGCACGAGTGTGTGTGTGTCTGTGTGTGTGAATATAACATTGTATGGCGGGTCGCAGTTCACCTCCCGAGGCTGGCGTCCGTCACGTCTGAATTGAAATGATATGTGAATATTGTGATTATCTGACACCCTCTGTGGCAGTCAATATCCTCTCTCTCTCTCTCTCTTTTAATTAAGTCCAAAAGCTGGTGAGTCGTGCCCTGGCAGCCTTGACTCCGCCTCTGATGAATTCTAGTTTATCACCGTGGGCCACGGAGACCAGCCACTTCATTTAGGGACGAGTATGTCAGCTGAAATGTCAAACATCGGCCACAAAACAATGTACTTTGTAACTCAATACACAGCTATTTGCATTCCAGAGTGCGACCGTGGCCAGTTGGTGGCTGCGGCGGGAAGCGGTGGTGACACGCGGGCACCGCCTCCCGGAGATGGTAAACCCGGGGACCTGTCCGACTCCGCCCACTCCGCGCTCTATTGGCGGACTACACTACTGTTAACAAATGAGCGCCGAGCGAGTAGCAGGGGCGGGGGAGCCGTGCACACCGCCACCAATGACCGCGCGGTCTCCAGTAAGGCCGGTGTGCAGCGCGAAGCTCCGCCCCACGTCACAGCTCCTCTCTCTACCTCACCGGGACTCCATTACTACCGCGAGAGGCGCGACAGCAACACGGTGAGCAGACTCTCGCAAGGACAGAAGCTGCTGCGCGTTGAGCATGACCACAGTAGTTACTGTTTAGTGAGTGTGGCGGTGAACTGCCGTGTAATTTGCAGTGGTGTAACGCAGTTGAGTGTGTGAGACACACAATGGTGCTCGGACTTGCAGCAAATGTTAGTGCTTCCTCAGGGAGCAGCGTAGGAGGCTCTGGCGGCCCTGTAGTACCCACTCCGATAGTGGCGCTACCCTCACTCTCCTTCACCGCCGCCCAGGTGGCCGCCGTCTGCGAAACTTTGGAAGAGAGTGGCGACATGGAGCGCCTTGGACGCTTCTTGTGGTCACTGCCGGTGGCTCACCCTCACCTTCACGACCTCAACAAGCACGAGGCGGTGCTACGAGCGCGGGCTCTTGTCTCCTTCCACGTGGGAAACTTCCGCGAGCTCTACGCTATCATGGAGTCACACAGATTTTCCAAACCTTCTCACGCGCGGCTGCAGGCGCTGTGGCTGGAGGCGCACTACCAAGAGGCAGAGCGTCTCCGCGGCCGCCCGCTTGGGCCCGTCGACAAGTACCGCGTCCGTAAGAAGTTCCCCTTCCCGAGGACCATCTGGGATGGCGAACAGAAGACCCACTGCTTCAAGGAACGCACAAGATCGCTGTTGAGAGAATGGTACCTGCAGGACCCTTACCCTAACCCCAGCAAGAAGAGGGAGTTGGCCTCGGCCACGGGTCTCACCCCCACACAGGTCGGCAACTGGTTCAAGAACCGTCGACAGCGTGACAGAGCAGCAGCCGCTAAGAACAGGTAAGCCAAGTTGTAAATTTGAAAGTAACTGCGGCGACCCGCCGGGTGTAGGGGCGAGAGTCCAGACCCAGCCGCGGGGAGGCGTCAGAGGGCAGCGCCATCCTGTCCGTTTCACTATAATCAGGCTCCTACGACCCTCAGGAGGTTCACCACAATTATGGACATCACCAAGAGTGTGACCAGCGGTAAATATTTGATCATAGCCGTAAAACAGCGGGTAAGGACAAGCGCCTTTATTGAAATGAGTAATTATCGGGTGTGGCCACAAATTAGACGTGCTGCAACACCGTGCTGAAGGAGCGTCTCATCGCTCATGGTTGTAACGAGACATAATGACTCGGGGCAGCCCAGTTAAAACTAACACGAGGGGCTGCGAGGCCCTTGATCAATACACTCCCCTAACACGAGAGATGACCCGGAAAATCCTCCTCACCCAACCCCGAGTTAATAACGGACGAGGTACGGTAATCCCTGTTAATGCTGCCCTACACAGTTGTGTGCACCTTCATGCCAAACACACGCTGATATTAAACATGAATATTAGCTGAATATTATTTTACACATCCCAATAATCCATTATAATTAAAAAAAATTAAATGGCGATATAGTTTCTGGTGATAACTTAACAGACAAACTGTGTAGAAGCACAAGTATAATAAATAAGACCCGTGTTCCCTTGTTACGGCTGTTGTCCCACCTCAGTCTCACACACTGCTCCGTCCCCTTCTGTAAGTACCTGAGTGTACCAACACCTCCTCATATGTATTTACACTTTTCAGAGTACATCCTTACCTTTACATTCTTCTTAGAGTACACCATTAAATCCCCCTGCGTATATGTACACTTGCAAGAGTACACCTTCATCACCAGCTCCCCTTATGTACAAGAGCGAAGCCTAAGTAACACACACACACACACACACACACACATCTCCGGGCCCCTCATTACGGGCCATATTGAATCGTTCAGCAAGAACAATAGCTGATTAGCGCTAAACACTCACCACCACCGCTTTTGTTCAACGCCCCGGCGCCAGAGAAACAACGCCGGCGGAGCGTTCATCAAGATCCCTGTCTGCGTTTCTGCGTTTATTCAGCCATCTTTTTTTTTATTTATTCTATTGCTCCTTATCCGATATTAATTATCCGGTCTACCAGTATGATGTGCGTGTGTGTATGGATGTATGTATGTGTGTATGTGTGTGTATGTATGTATGTATGTATGTGTGTGCATATACTAGCCATGTTTGAAGTATGAGCAAAGGATGAGCCCAATAGGTTATCTTTGAGCTCAGTCCTGATGGCTCCCAAGCGCTAATATGCTTACCAAACGACACACGATACTTGGCTCCTCAGCTCACTATACAGAGCTCACCAAACTTACTCTGCAGGGAAATGATCGCTAATCTCAGCCATATAAGCGTCATAAGCGGCGTGTACCAACGAGATTAATAATAGTGCGTCACAGTTGAGCTCAGAATATATCACTTAAGCTCGATCTCACTATGTCATTGATTAAACTGAGACTAACACCACCGATCACAAAGTATATTTCACTAAACTCATTCTCCAACTCACAGACAACACACTGAGCTCAATCTTGTCTCACACGGCACAGATACTAAGACCAGAAGCCATCGATGGACGCGGCCTGAGAGTATGAAATAAGAGAACTGCCTTACCCATATACTGTACACAAACCATACAATAATGAGACATCTACACCTTGCCGTCCCTATGCTTAAGTTAACAGGTGGCAAGAATTGTTATATACCTGTGATTATAACTAAAGACTCACCTGAGAGTTAGTTTACTGTTTATTTTTTGATGTGAATTAAGTTATTTATTTATTAATGTTATTCACTGTGTGTAATATAAATGATAATATTTATATTATATTATTATAATTATTGTTATTATTATTATTATTATTATTATTATTATTACCGTTAGAACTAATAGTAATAGTAATAAATCTACTAAAATAATAAACATAATAATATAGAAATAATAATAATTATAATATATTAATAATAACAATTATAATATTATAATAGTAATAATTATAATATAATGAGTGATAATAATAATAAAAATAATAATACCAGTAATGATATTGATTAAATTAATATTTTATTAGTAGTACTGTAGTAGTCGTATAAAAAATATTATCATTATTATTGTATCATCATGATGGCAACATAATTGTTAACAACACTTCATTAGTAGTATCATTATTACCAATATACCAAGACTCAGTATTTTCTTAAATAAAATTCAATAATATTTTTCGACATACAAAACCACATCCGTATATGACCTACAATTTCCGCTCTTCTCTAAAATAAATTATATGAACAATTATATATTATCGTTTGGTATAATCTTTGGCTACTGTGTACTAACGACCCTATAATTTATCGCTATTTTATATTCTTAAAAATAAACCAGGAAACACACTCTGGGAGGTTCTTACACGCACACTAATAATTAACATAATCACTTTATTATCTTGTTTAAGTGGTAGTTATAGTGTTATTACGTCTTGGTATTTGTGTGTTATTGATGGTCGGGTTATAGTAGATATCTTTATCATTTGTCTGTCGTTATGTCGTCGAGGTGTGTGTGTGTGATTCCATCGATAAATCGTTGTCTAGAAGTCTCTTATTTCATCTCCAACTTTTTTTCATATTTTGGTGACGAGAAAAAAATATTCTCTATTTAATTGAGTATAAATTAATCATTTTTTTATATAATATTAACTTTAGTGAAGAAAGACATAGATAGATAAAAAAATAATTGTTTTCTATATATTTACTAATATTCATCGCTCGTTCACGTAGTTTCTAAACATCTAAGTAAAACACACACACACACACACACACACACACACACACACACACACACACAGCAAGATGCGGACGAAACACTCCCTCACGCTGTCCGCCATCCGACCAACCGACCGACCGACCGACCGACCACACTCCAAGCGTTTAACTGGTAACCGGCCGCCCATCAATAACCGGATAAGTGAATAAATAACCAGCCTTAACGACGCGCGGTGTGATGGCGGAGCGATGGAGGCGTTATGTTATTGATGGTTTGAGTTATTGCGGGGAAAACTACGTTATTTAGTGTGAGTTATTGCAAGGAAAATTCTGTTATTTAGTGTGTTATTGCAAGGAAAATTTCGCTATTTAGTGTGATTTATGGCAGAGAAAACCACGTTACTTAGTGCGAGTTATTGCAGGGAAACCACTTTTGGCATCCTTCGTTATTGCAAGGGAATCCCCGTTATTTACACCCTTAGGTTTATCTAAGAGTTCTTCCTGGTTAGGTTAGGCTGGGACTTGAACCCATTAAGAGTGAGACCCATTAAGACTGGGCCCATTAGGACAACCCATTGAAACTGAAACCCGTTAGGACTCAAACCCACTCGGACCCATTAGGACTCAAACCCATTAGGACTAGGGCCCATTAGCACTGGGACCCATAAGGACTGAAACCCATTAGCACTGGGACCCATTAGAACTAGGACCCATTAGCACTGGGGCCCATTAGCACTGGGGCCCATTAGCAATAGGACCCATTAGCACTGGGACCCATTAGCACTGGGGCCCATTAGCACTGGGGCCCATTAGCAATAGGACCCATTAGCACTGGGGCCCATTGGGACTGAAACCCATTAGCACTAGGACCCATTAGCACTAGGACCCATTAGCACTAGGACCCATTAGGAATAGGACCCATTAGAATTCTGGACTTCCATTACAAGATTTAAGACTGAGGCAACGTTATATTTTCGCCGCAATTATAATAGTTAGGTTGAGGGTTTATATCTAAGGGTTTATTTTTAGGAAGCTTATCTAAAGGGGTTTATATTTTAGGTTTATTAAAGAGGTTTATTTCTGTGGGTTAACTTAGGGGGTCCATTTCGAAGCTAATTTCAGGAGATTTAACTAAGAATCTGTTTTATTTTGGTTTAACTACAGGTTTATACGATGGTTTAAGGGATATTACTTTATACTGATTGAAATAATTGACTTTAGGAACCATTATTAAACGGTTTTAATCTCACTCAACCGGATCTCCAACCTTCTCTTATTGGGGAAACCTTAAAATTCTCACCGATAGAAAACAGTCACGTGATTGTGGTAGGATATCTTTAAGGGCTTCGAGGGGACCTAAAAATATCCCCTGAGAAGAGTTTTGATTTTAAGGTGAAAGTTTAGGGTCAAGTGGTTTTTTTTTAAAGTATATCTCAGGCTGTAAATGGAGAACTGACCTATATACGATACCTTAATCCTGTAATGGGTGGAGAATAATCCTGTATTTTATGATATTTTAGGAATGTAATGGAGGTGTATTATGGTATACTGTATGTATATATATGACTGTAACGGAGGAATACAGTATACACACACACACACGCACACACACACACACACACACACGCACACATTACACAGTATAATAAATACAGTATTCTGAATTAACCTGATAATACAGAATATAACCCAAACTTAACTGTACTTACTGTAATATTTTACGATAAATTAATTGGTTGAAATACAATACAGACTTGTTGATTGGTTAACTGATGGCCGCTGATTGGTCAATTCATGGCAGAAAGCCGTTGATTGGACAAGTGATAGTAGAAGGTAGCTGATTGGTCAACTCATAGTATAGAAGGCCACTGATTGGTCAACTGATGATAGAAGGCCGCTAATTGGTCAACTCATGGTATAAGGACAGCTAATTGGTCAACTCATGGTATAAGGACAGCTAATTGGTTACCTCAAGTCAATTTCCGACGGACCGCACCAATCAGATCCCCTAAACCGCAAAATAAATATGACACTGACCGCTGCTACCCGATCGACCCAATCACAGCTAATCCGTACCACTTAAGTAAACAGATTAACACTCCAATCAGACTTTAAGTAAACAGATTAAAACTCCAATCAGACTTTAAGTAAACAGATTAACACTCCAATCAGA